AATCAAATGGTATTTAATAGAACTTTGTACAAGGAGAAAACTTGTTTACTATGATTAACCTGAAACGATGTTTATTATACTTTAAAAAAATACAGTCAATTATTTGGCATACCAAGTAACTGATTATTATTTTAAGAAATTAAATTGTTTGTAAATAATAACAAAGATACGAAAGTAATAATAAAATATTAATATTTCATATGGTAACAAAGTATGGTAACAAACCAACATTGATAATACCAACATGTTAACGTATGGCTGAAATATCACTTTGTGCGTTGTTTATTTTTTATACAAAGTAAGTTTTAGAAAAATGTCAAAGGAGACGCAAAAGTTAGAAATAAATAAATGTATCTCGTCAAAATTGTGGTATACATCTCTTATTATTTACCGAGAAAATGATAATGAGAAATTCTTTCTTTCCGAATGTAACAATGATACTGTGGATTTTGTTAAATCAGAAACACAAATTGCAAATGTAATGTAAGTACAATAAAATCTTGTACATTACGAAATATATTATTTACTAGAATATATGCAATAATTAAAATTAAAATTATTACAAATTTTTTAATATCATTTAACATATATAACAATTTTCTTCATTAAGTACTTTTTTAGTCATTTCCAAAATGAGGGTCAACATCAATGGATTGCGCATATATTGTTGCATCAACTTATTAATAGTGTATCTTTGGATAATGAATACATAAAAAGACATCAAAGTTATATAGAAATGATACATGCTTTGCAGTTGTGCAAAAACTTGACAATACATTTACAAGAGGTATTTTAAGAATGAATTAATTTGTTTCAGTTATTAATTACATGTTTTTTATTTTACCTATATAATATTAATTGTTTATATTTTTGATAGGAGTTGTTAACAAAGTACAAAAGTGTATCAGAGCAGACAAATTCAGAAAATTTTGAAAAAATCCAGAATGAATATTTTATATTTTTAAAACAAAATATATATAACAATCCATTTGTCACATGTTGGATTTTGAATAAATTATCTTGTTCCAACACATCAAATAATGCTATTTGTAATTTACAAGATTTTTATTTTACACTTATAAAAGAATTGCTAGAACCTAAATTATCTAAACATCAATTAATCAGTGACAATTCTTTTGGATATATATTGTGTATTATATCAAAAATGAGCATTAATGAACTTAATGCAGATACATTGTCAAAATGGCTTTTTCCTATATTATTAAAAACAAATATAATTTATAATGTGGAACTTGCATTATATTCAAGAGTAGATGAAAAGTTGTTTAAAAAATGGTGTACCTTTCATAATGAAGTTTATCTGCATTCCAAAATGGTTAATAATTTGTGTAATGCAGAGAAAATTCAGGATATGCTATTCCATTTTACTTTTACTTCTGTTCCCACTATAAATACAAATAAACTTATAGAAAGAATAACTAATAACAAACTACATTGGGTTATAGACATTTTGGTAAGTAATATTATGTAAATTATTAAGTCAATATTAAAATATTTGTATCTAATATTACTTTTTTTTAGGACATTTGTTATACTTTACTGATAAATGAAAAATATAATGAAGTTACATTAATATTATCTCATCCATTATTAAAAGCTATTTTGCCAGCTTTATTATTTAAAGTTTTGAATGATTGTTCTCAAGAAGAATTTATTTTAATTGATGTTCAAAAAGATTATGATTACATACATAATTCAATTGAATTTTTAATATCCAAATGTAATTTTGATGTATGGTGTGATTCTGCATCGACTGAACTAAAACATATATTGAGGAAAAATATAAAAATTTTTAAATATATTTTAAATTGTATAAGAGAAAATCTTAAGACAGAAGATTCAAATCAAGTTCCTGAAATAACAAAATCAGTGAACTTTCAACAGAGGATATCTATAAAATCGATATTTGACCTTTTACAACATTTTAATAGCCTTTCAGTGCTGAAAATGACAACAAATATACACGAACAAAAACATAATAATATAAAACACTTATTAAAAGATCTTTGTGAACCTGAAAATATTTTTCATGCATATTGTACCATGTTAAGTGCTTTAAAAGCTATTTTATTATGTGATAATTATGATACACAAGAATCTACCATAAAAAGTTACTTTTCTGATATGTATTGTTACATACAAATGATACATCCCCTCAACCTACGTATACAAGTTGTAGAAAATATATTTGCTTTACTGTTTTTGCGACATAAAGATTTTGATTATATTCAGAAAAGTTATGACAAGAATGATACAAATACTTCACATGAACAATTAAAATTTAAGCATAAATGGGTGAAACAGTATGTAACAGATTTTATTTGTAACAAATATGCTGTAAGAGATATATTATTTTATTTGAGGGATATTATGTTAGCTGTAGAGAGTGAATACCTGAAAATGAAAAGTAAAGATGAAAGTATAGAAGAAGTAGATCAAATTCAAAAAGATATTGCATCTATCAATGCAGCAATAATAGATGCTGAATGCAGATTAGAACTTTATACAACTTCAGAGTTTGCTGAAAATATTAATATTAAAGATGAAAATCAAATTTTTGTACCTAAATCCAAAACTAAAGTTTTATTAGGTGAAAAATTAATTTACAACAGTTCTGAAGAAGAAGTACATTTTTATCAAGAAAGTAGTATTTCAGATGACACAAAAATAAAATCTAACAGTAGTTCTGAATCAGAATCAATGTACAATAGTAACAAATGGCGAAAACGTTTTAAAAATACAACATTGATAAAAGATGGTTTAATAACTAAAGATATGACTCATAAGCCATTATTTATAAATTTTATGTTGGCAACTAAAGAAAGCCTAATTATTCGATACTTATGGAAAAATGATTATGTTAAAGCACAAGATATTATAGAGGTAATTTTACTAATGCAGATAATGTATTTATATGTTTCTTATTGCAGCTTCAAACATTTCATATGAATTTTCTTCAAATTCAGTAGATTCATACGTAATAAATTCTTTTTCTCCTTTTCTTTGAGGCTTTTTACTTAGTATACCAGGAGGATTAATAGTGTAATATTGTTTTGCAAATAGTATTCTTTTTTTTGGAAAACAAATCTTGCAACGAAAACAACAACAGCACCAACCTATAGAATGATACATGGTCATCATAAATTATTTGTGAAAACTATTTTTATTTTATAAAGTTTTTAATGGTATAACTTACCCTTTTGACACCAACATGGAACTGCAAGACACATATAAATCAGAAACCAAATTTTAATGGTCCACCATATCTTCCACAATGTTTTCTTTATAAGAGGTTTATTCTTTTGGTGTTCATAATTATACATTAAGCAATCTATTGTTTTAATACCAGACTTTCTGGACATGTCTGTGCAATTTTTAAAATCCAATAATTTTTGTAGTGCTTCATTGGGATGCTCTTTTAGTTTCTCTTCAGCAGTATAATTTAAAGTTTTATTGATGTTTATGTCTTTTACTATTTGTTCCTCATATTCACTTCTAAATTTGTCATAGTTATAACTTTCTTCACCTGGTTCTGTACTATCAACATATGCAATATCTTTTTCATAAATGTTATTTGAAGAAACTGATCTCTTTTTATTTTCTTTAATAATAAGAATGCCATTAGCTGTATTCTAAAAAGAATTATTTTGCTTATTATCATGTTTTGTTTGAAATACTTTCTTAGAAAATTTTTAAATTTTTGTCTTATAATTTGTTTATAATTTGATAGAAACTATGTTTCTATCATTATATAAGGTTAATAAACTAATTATTAAACACTTTATCTAAATCTTCCTTAAAACCAGCAACAAATGGTATATCATCCTTTTCTAAATTAGAACTTTCCCATATGTTTGGCTTTAAGTGGAAGAATATGTTTGTATGTTGCATTGTATTTATAGCTTCACGTTTGTTGTAACTGTCTACATATGAATGTATTGGTTTATATCTACTTTCATCTTCTATGTATAATTTTAAATTTGCTAAATCTATAGGTTGTATCATTTCATTTTCACTTTCTTCATCATAGTCTTTATTGTCAGATGCCATTTCTAGTACTTTTTTATTATCTATATTAATCTGTATAGAAAAGAATAATTAGTAGGTAATGAAATAACAGAGACATTGAGTAACACCCATATAGAAAATATGTTTTTAAATAACATATTTAATTAATATTCACTTTAATGTATTCTTTTTTTCAAGGTATTTGATATGAAAAATAGTCAGCTAAATGGGGAAGTGCAGTTTTCCAAAGCATTACACATATTTAAAAAGAACATATATAAACAGACAAATATGGTAAAGGATAATAATCAGTCCTCAAAAAACTTACACTCTTCTACATTAGAGGTATGTTTTTACAATTAATTAACGTTATTTACAAGAATAAATTGTTTATAAATCTTATATTTTTGCAGAATATAAGACTAGTTACACAAGAAGGTATAGAATCTTCTAGACAAACTAGTCAACTTGAAACTTTCTTGGCATCTCAAGAAATTAATTTGCAAATATTATCTAAGGATACTTTTAATAACTATGAAATATTAACAATATGTGTACTAGATTTTGCTTTAACTATGAGTCAGACTTCTTCAATTTCACACAATTTTTGTGAAGTTGCAATGAAATATTTAAAATTATACAAAACATTTGACAATACCGAATATGTACATTTCTTTTATAAATTTTATCAATTGTTACATGAAAGAAAAGATGAAGTTTCTGTAGAAAATATACTCTGTGATGCAAAAATTGCATTGTCCATAAAGGAATGTAAAGAGAAGGATGACTTTTGGATTGATATTATGACTAAACATCATGAATTTAAAGAATCACAGGCAAATAAAAGTATAATGGATAAAAAATTGAAAGATAGTGATTATTTGCCTGGTTTAAAGATACTTGACAAAATAGTAGCAGTTTTTTGTGGAACTAAGAAATATGTGCAAAATTTGTGGTCTCATTTCCAACTGTTACATTCAATTATACCAACTGAACAAGAAGTACTTACAGTTTCTGATTTACTAAAAATTCCATTACATTATTATTTTGGTTATCAAATATTTGAACTTAAAATTGAGCCAAATGAGCTTGAAGCAATTGCACATAATTTACAAATTAATTTAGCATGTAGTATTCTTACAAATATTTGTCCCAAATTTTTTTATGAAAAAAATATAAGCTATACTATTACTAGTAAAGAGGATGGATGTATTATTTTAAATAAAACTTCACGTAAATCGGTATGTATCGAAATTTATCAATTGATTCTAAAATAAATCGAAAGGATAAAATAAAAACATTTAGTATTCATGTATTTATCTTAACTTACAGGATTCAAGTTATACGATCCAAGGGCCGAATCAATGTGTTTCAGAGATATTAACAGAAATTTTACAAGTTTTGCATAATTTAAATCTAAGCCAATCTGTCTTAAGCCGTGATGTTTGTAAAAGTATTTCTAAATATTCAGAAATTCAAAATGTATTAAATAAAACGTCTCGTCTTGTAAGCTTAGATTTAAGTGAATTATCTATGGGTGATGAAACATTAACTTTTCTTTTGAATACGTGGAATCTGATGTTTCTACATGCTACCTTAACTATATGGGCATATCATTTCCCTTTAAATAATTTGCAACATACAGTTTCATTAATGTCAATTGGTTACTTAATTGGTGATTTGGGTTTAGTAACACTTGCAGCACTTAGATCAAAATTGCTGAATAATATGACATTAGATGATAATTTTTTTATACAATTTGAAGAACTTAATGAACCAGCATGGCAAGATTTGGATATTACTCATGATCCAAGAGTAATTTTTATAATGGCTAATGAATTTTTTGGAACGCCTAATATTCAAGTAAGTTGCTCATTCACTAATGCTTTTCACGAATATTTAAATCATTATGCAGTAAAATCTAATAAATATATGCAAAATGCAGATACACAAAATACTATTTTATTACCTGAAATTGCAGAACGATATGAAACTTTTATTTCTCAGAATTTAAAAAATGATTTACAAAACAGTAATAACTGCAACAATCTATTTTCAATAAATGACTACTTTAAACCCTCTAATGAAAACATAGTTATAGAATACATGCCTCCTTCTTATTCGTGCAGTATAATATTGAAATATACAAATTGTTCTAATATACATAATCAGAAACAAATTAATCAATATAAGACTACCTGGAAAACACATAGTATAAGATCAAGTGTGTTACAATACTTGGAAAGTCAGTGTTGGGTTGTTTCTTATCTTTGGCAAAGAATACATAATAAAAATCCTACTATTTTGGAAAACAACTGTGATAATTTAAAACGTACTGCATGTCTTGAAAATCTCTTAAGTTCATCTTGGGTTATGGAATTAAAATTATTATTTGATAATAATCAAACTCTTGCAGCCATTCTTGAAACAATATCAATAGAAAAGTTGTGGTCTCATCTTGAACTTATGATAAAAGAAAATAAATGGAATGCTTGTTTAAAACTTGTAAATGCATTGCCAAGCCATTTTACTTTAAACACTGAAATGCAATGTTTCAAAGATAAAGTTCTTAGTCATATAGTTTTACAAAAAGATACCACTTTAAATGCAGAAATATTACAATATTTATATCAAATTAAAGATGTATACATACTAAGCCAAACAGTATTATTTAATATTAATAGATGGGACATAAATATTTGTGAAAATGCTTTACTTCATGTGGTACATCATATAGATAATTACAAATTATCTGTGCACTGTAAATTACAATTGAATGAAATCTTACACAGAGTGCTCATTTTTCATAAAATGCTTCCATATTGTATAACTAAATCCAATGGCACTTGGTATGATATTGCTTACTGTACAGAAAAAGTTGATGCACTAGAAATTATCAAATCACTGATCAATGAAGATAAATTTGAATTATGTCTGGAATGGATGGAATGTCAGGGATTTTCTTTAGAAATACATCCTTCTGTGACACAAGAATTTTTGATTGGTTTTTTAAAGAGTGAATCTCAAAACTTTAAACAAACTTTAAAGGTATTTTAGAAAATATTAAAGCACTAATATATTACAAGCAATAATTTTTAATGTTTAATGAATTCTATTATCTTTTCCAGTTTTTCCAGGCACTACCTTTGGATCAATCAATTAAACTTTGCAAAACTATGTTAACAAAGTTAGAGTCTATTGACTCACTGAGATTTATTTGTAATTATTTATTACAGTATTGCGAAGCAACAGAAATCATAAAATATAGAAGAACTCTACTAGGAATTGACATTTTATGTATGTTAGATGTTCAAGAGAGACAGTTATATATTCATTTTATAAAAAAACCATTGTTGATGTTAGAGCAATTACTAATGAATTGCAAATTTGAAAGTATTCAAAGGATATTGTATAAAATTCAAGACAAATTAGATAAAGCAGATATTTCAAGAAATAGTTTTGACAAAATAATAAGATTCTATGCTCAAAAGTCATTGGATTGTCGTGTGTCTTTAGAGTGTTACACCACTGAAAGTAAATCCAAAAATGTAGAACAACCTACTTTAGATACAGAAAGTACAGAATTTATTATGCCTACATTAGTTCCTACTAAAGAAGAATGGGTACCTAATGATAAAGTATATAAAAATAATATGCAATATTTTAATATTTAGTACTGTTATTTTATTATATTTTGATTATCCTAATTGTTTTTTTGTTTAACAGGCTAGAAAATGCAGCTGTTGCAAAACCGTTATATTTTCAATGTTTAATAGACGACATCATTGTCGTAGATGTGGTCGCGTTATTTGTGCAACATGTTCGCAACATCGTATACAAATTTCTGGATACCCACCTTCTGTACTTGTACGTGTATGTGATGACTGTAAACGACAGACTGCATTACAAGTACATGTTCATCAAGAATCACCATCTCCATCAAGTAGTGAAATATTTGATTATTGGCGATTAACGACAGATGAGAAACATAATGAAACTATCAGAGAAGAATTTTCATTTGAATATGCTCCAAACATTTCTTTATGTTTGGCTATTCTTAACTTACATTCCGAACATAAAACATATGCCAGGTAATAATAATTCCTTTTGTTTTATAATGCTTTTATTTAATACTATTTAACAAATTGTATGTTTACAGTTTCTTATTAGACTGTTGTGATGATATGAAGCGTCTTTTACAACCTGTTAGTGGTGGAAAAGTAAATCCTGAAATTGATCACACTGTCATTATTAAAATGATACGTTCCTTGCTAGTAGCTGCAAAAGTTAAATGTGCTAAGCTTGGGCTTAATACTGGGTTAATCCATTGTGATAGCTTTTTATCACAAGTAGATCTTATTGCCAGCCTAGTTCAATCAGACTGTTTACAATTCATACTTTGTGATTATTTAGATGATTATACTTTTAGAAAATTGAGAGACCTTTTAATTGAAAAAGAGCAGTGGACTCTTGCTCTAGATATGAGTACCAAAGTAGGATTGGACACACAGGGTGTTTGGGTAGCTTGGGGTAAAACATGGTTAAAAATGAGATACTTCGAAGAAGCACGAGATAAATTTTCCCATTGCCTTGATAAAATTCAGTATGAAAATTTCGATGATTGGGTAATTCTACCACACCTAAAGGAATTAGAAAACGAAGAAATTAAAAGGGACGAATTAAAAAAAACAGAATTTTCGAAAAATCGTCCATTAAAAGATCCACCATTGCTGACAGAAATCTTACAAATATTAGACAATTTAAATGTATACAAACAATATGTTCAGTATTCTCATCAGTACAAGTGCAATGCTTCACAGGAAATACTAAGTAATTTTGGAAGCTTCAAAATCATAAATCAGAAGCCACTTTATAAAAATACATCTGCAACTATGCAAAATGTTTACTATCAAGAAAGCCTTTATTACTTACTAGCTTATGGAAGTTATAATTCAATTTTAGAGTTCTTTTTAACACACGAGGAATTTGACAAATGCCTTACTTTCACCTTAGAAAATGATTTAGAACCCGATTTATTTTTCAATACAATTTATTTATATTGTTTAAAAAATGGATGTATTGAAAAACTTCATGAAGCAATGATGAACAAAGATTCAAGTTTGCTAATTTGGAAAAAATATTTAATATATGTTTGTCATAGTTTAGAAAAAAGACAATATTTAAATATTTTATATCAATTACAACTTTTTATGAAAGACTATATACGGGCAGCAATGACATGTATTCGTTTTTATCTTAATGAAGTAAACAATTACACAGAATTATGTACTAGAGTACATTTTTTACTTGATGCCCAAAAGCATTTAGAATCTGAATTGCAAATTGAAACTTTAAATCGAAAAAGAAGGAAAAGTATGAGTTCCATGCATGGCAATCAAGGAATTCTAACAATGGAAATGGAACTCTCAGAAATAGACAAACATATAAATACAATTTGTAGGCAAATGGAAATTACAAAGTTTCTAGCAAATTGTGAAAAAGATGGAAGAGCTCCCATTCAATTTCTGAACCTGTTTCCAGAAAAAGATTCTAATAATTCATACATTTTAAAAATACCAACTTTATTTGGCAATCAAGAGGAAAAGATTGATTTAGCTGTTCTAACTATGCTTTGTGGACACAATATTGAAGAAGGATTTGGAATAGCATTTAGAATAATGCAAGGTCAGTCAATTTAACTATATAAATATCTTGATATCGTTTACATGACTATTTCAATGACACTATCATTTCAGATTATAATTTACCACAACAAAAGGTATATTCTTTAGCTGGACACATTTTGATAATGAAGAATAATATTGCTGCAATAGAGCAATTGATTAAATGTTGTCATACATCTGGTATTAAAAATTCGTACATTATATCAGATTATGTATTAGCACATTGTGTAAAGTTGTTTCTGAGTCAGTTACACAATGAAACAGAATCAGTTTTGAAAAATGATATTTATAATCTCGTTCGATTAATAACCGACATAGAACTTAAAGTAAGAATGAATTATATGTACACATATAAATTTTCCAATTCTTTCAACATAATTTAAAAAAATTTGTTATTTTCAGATAAATACATATATTGAATGTAAGCAGTTAAAAGCAGCATATTTATTAGCTGTTAGGCATTCCAGAGCACAAGATATAAGAAAAATTTTGAAGGAATCTGATAGGCTTGGCCAAAATGCTATTAAAGCAATATGTATAAAATGGCTCCAACAAGAATCAAAGTTATAATTTTAGGGTAAATTATAAGAACTAATAAAAGTGCTATATTTCTGCATTTGCATTTTTACTAAACTAAAATATTTATCCATTCCACGAAATATTTAAAAAAAAATAAATTATATACACATATTTTTTAATAATTTTTTATAAA